GCCTCATGAAGCTTGTCGCATTGGCTTTCCTGACGGAAACTTCACTTTCCTCATCTCTGGAGGGTCTTGGGACCTCTCTGTTGCTGAGGATGGCTGTGGGACTCTTGGGGGGCTCTGGTGCTTACCTTGAGCACTGCTTCCTAGCTCTAGTTCAGACCCCTCAGCCTGCTAGCACAGACCCTTCATCCTACTCACAGGGATTTCCTAGCTCCCACTACTGACCTTTTGGCCTTTCCAGCATATACCCATGAAATGGGTTTTGCATGAGACTTTGTTGTTGGCTTTAGGCATCCAATTGGACTTGTTATGAGCTCTAGGCCTCAACTGGATTCGTTAGTAGTTAATGTGTGGATAGATTTCCTGCACTTGTAGTATGTCATTCTTGGGTAATTCATTACAAAATACTATTATAAAACCTGTCCTGTGCTATATTGTTCACCTTGCAAAAACCCCAAACCATGACAGCTGTGAAATGAAATTTTGTGGTGTTTGCCTAAAATATATGAAATCATAAGTTAATGATGTATATTAATGTTAATCAGATATATTTGCTTGCATTTCAATAATATCCAAATCAATAAAATGAATCATTTTATAACCATTAAAGGTAATTACATTTTTTAAAGAGAAAAAAGGATATTCGTAACAATGAAATTTCAAAGCAAGTTAGTTGGGCAGTTACGGTAGTTGATACATTGCATGTTATCATCTTCAATGAATTATACCAAGTAGAAGATGTAAGCATGATACCTTGTCAGTACAAGATTAGCTCAAAACAGAAATTTATATTCTTATGTTAGTGTCAAAATACCTTTAGTAGGCTTTGAAGAAAGTGCAAATTCATTCACTGAACAATGAGAAAAATTATAAAGTGATAATAACAAAAATGCTGGTAATCTTTTGGACATTTATGTGATTGCTCTCTGACAACTGTTCTGAGCCCTGCCTTGTCCTGGGCACTAGGAATGCAGTAATGAACCAGATGTACAGCTTTGCATAGTGGCAGCATCATAGCCAATGACATTTATCCGAGGCGTGATTATTGCTAAATGAGCCAGATGTCCGCGGTCCCTGCTCAGATGAGTTCACGTTTTAGTAAGTGGAGAGATTATGCACATAGACACAGCATGCATGCTGTGATGCTATTTGAGCAGGGATCCGAGTCAGATGCCAGCATGTTCCAGGGGACCGTTAGGTGGAAGGCCATTCAGACAAAGGACCAGTAAACGTGGCAGCCCTATGGCACTGTGCATGGAGGTTGCTGGTTCTTGAGAAGACAGATGAGGGTGGGTGCAGACTGCACTTGCTGGGTTAAGAGAGGTGGACTGACCTGGATCAGGCACTTATCTACTGATTTTACCAAAAAGCATATTCACTTTTTCTTGGTTAACTAAAATTTTCTAGACACGCTATAGCCCAGATACCCCGATAAAGCAAAAGAGGCAATTCCCAATTGATGTGGCCCTCTGTTCAGTGTTGGGGAATGCGCTACTCCATGGGAGCAGTCCACCAGCATCAGCGTGAACACTGGAGAGTTTAGATGCGTCTGGGCTGTAACCTCTGCAGGATAGGAAATCCTGAATGCTAAAAATAGAGATTGCTTTTATTTTGAGTCAAAGGAGAACAGACCGTCCCAGTAAATAGAGGTCACTGAACTGTTTCAGTTGTGGAATTTGTGTGGAATATGACACTGCCTTTCTAAACCCATAGAAAATAAAATAGTTTTCTTAAAATGTTTGCAGATAGAGATTCTAGGACCTCTACTTAGAAATCTTTTTTTTTTCAATATTACTTGAGTTGGTAATGTTGAAAAAATTCCTTAAGTAATTCCTCCAATACTTTTCTGACATGAAACAGCACACTTTGTTGTGATTTGTCTATCTGCTTATTTGATAGTATAGCTGGACTACAAATTATGTGGTACTGTTTTAGGCTCTTGAGAGACAAGGTGCACACAAGGAAAAAAGTCCTTACTTATATTCTAGCTGTGAGAATGTAATCATATATAATGATTTAAAAGTAATGGATACATTATAGGACTTCAGGAAGTGATGACTTCTGTGAATAAAAGGAAAGGAGGCAAGAGAACTGCATAGAGGGACCATTATTTTATCTGTGGTTATTCCAGAAAGGCTCTCTCATGGGTAACACTGAACAGCATTAGCAATGAAGATCAAGACAAAGAATATCTTGGCAGAGGGCTCCAGTGCAATAGCCTAGAGGCATAAGTGTTTATCATTTATTTGAGACCCAGGAATGAAAGAAGAGTAGGGGAAGATGAAGACAGAGAGGTTGCAATGCAGGAATGGCCTTGTGGAATGTTGTTATGATTTGGGGATGATTATTGGCCAGAGGAAGCCACTGGAGGGCTCATCCTGACATGGATTTCAAAAGATGACTCCAAAAATTTTGTGTAAAAAAAAAAAGATGACTGGGGGCTGGGTAGATAGCTCAGTGGAATAGGTGCTTGTCTGGCAAACGCGAGCGAGGTCCTAAGTTGGATCCCTGGTACCACCAAGGGAAAAAACAGATGACTCTAGCTACGCATTATAGTACCCATTTATAACCCCAACACTCTGGAGACTGAAACAAAGGGTCTTAAACCCAGCTGAAGTGGATTAAAAAAGAGGGCGTAGCTTAGTGTAAAATCTATGGGCTCAACTCCCAATATTGCGCACAACCCCTACATGCCTGTATGTTGAAAGAATTGTGAGGTCAAGAATACGAGCAGGTTCTTATGCAGTTATATTTGAGTAAGAAATGGAGTAATGGCAATGTGGATGGGAAAGAGTGATAGAGAGTGTTAGTGCTAGTAACATAATTTTAATTTGAAATATATTACACTTTTAATATAGATCCAACAGGATTTGTTGATGGATTAAACAAATAGCAAATAGCAAGAGAAGGAGAGAATTTAAAGATGACTCCAGTGTGTTCAATCTGTGTTTGTCTTGAGAAAGGAAATACTGAGGAGAGGCAGTGTGGGGCAAGCCCGTAGAGTTCTGGGCTGAAAATGGTGATGTGCATGCTGTGGGTGTATCTAAGTAGTTGTGTTGAATCCCAGGTGGATATATAAGTCTGTATTTTGGGAGAGGCTGTACAGGAGAGAGAACAAGGGTATGTTCTCTGATTATGAGTGGTGTGTAAACCAGGAGATTGAAAAAAAATTACTTAGGGGAGTGATAGATGGAGAAAATAAATTTTTAAACAATGAGTCCTGAACATTGTAGCATCTATGTAAAAACAGAGAAGATGATTCAATAATGTTGATGGAGGGGCCAGGTAGTTGGCTTGGTGGTCTAAGCACCTGCCTGGCAAACATAAGGAGTTCAATTCCCAGTACCGGAAGCTGAGTCAGACACCAAAACTGTGTTGGTGGTGCACACCTCTAATACCAGCTCTGGGGAGGCTGAGACAGGGGGCTTACCAGTAGTCTGAGCTATGTAGTAAGACCCAGTTCCAAATACATAAATAAGTAAATGAAAGATTAAAAAAAGTAGTGTTGACTAAAAAGCTACACCCAGTCTAGCAAAAGGAAACCAAAAGTTTGCTGTGTCTGGGGTCAGGTGAGGAAATTAGAAATTGAGTTGTTGGAAGGAAAGAATTATTAGTTGGGTCAAATGCTGCCAAGATGTTGTCCAAAAGGTCTTAAGTGCCCAAAAACTTGACAGTGTGGTGACCATCAGCAGCCTGGGCCCAGGGGCTGGCGGGTAGAGACTGGGCCTCAAGTGTGGAATTAGACTGCAAATTCCTTTGTGAAATTGGAGTGCAGCGTATCTAATATATTTTGTTGGTCATCCGAAGTTTGCTTGTAATATTTGAAGTTTTGTGAGGAAAGATTTCTTATACTTAACATGTTCATACCTCAAAGAATTAATTTTCTGTGAACTTAGAGTAAGAAACTGGTTTTCTTTTGGTTCTCATTGTTTTAGTTCTCTGTATTCAAACTACAGCTTATGCTTTCTTTATACATGTGTACATATACATTTATAGTTTGGAATATCATGTTTATTTCAAATACTTGTTTTAATTTTTACATATGCATTTTCCTTCCCAGTGAAGAGGAATATGAATCAGTGAACTGACTGAATTCAGATGAAACGACACAATCACACAGTCAGTCTCGTTTATAGTCTCAGTTGGTTCAGGAATACAGTATTTTTGGCAATTCCCTGAAATGGCCTATTCAGATGGCTTAGATTCATCAGTTATCTCAGTTGTAAACCAGATTTATTTCAGGATGATTTGGTTCTGCTGTCTTGTATAAGCAAATAGAAACTTCTCTTAAAATGTTTTGCTAAAGGAAAGGAAAAGTCTTCCTTAAAACATTTCCCACACTTACTCCTTTAAGAAGCAAACTATTATAAAAAGAGAAAAGGAACAGGATGGAGCATGTCAAATTAGATCTCAGGGAAGTGCCTGTGGGAACGCCATGACACTTATGAATTTCGGCAGAGAAAACAGAGTGTGTCTTAGATTTTCATGTGGGTGAACTCTCTTTGTCTATAGTGTTTACTACCATCTTGTCAGGCGCTCAACAGAATAGAAACACAGATACTTGCACTGGAATAATTTATGTAGCAAGGTACTCATACACATGTGGGCAGGATAGCTACTGCTGTTTTTCTTCTTAAGGAAGAAATATTTGTAGGGAAAATGTTTAAAAATGGAAAGGGATTAAGCTACCATTTGCAAATATATAATGTAATATGTTGATTTCATCTCCACATTTACTATACCACCCATAAATCAAGGAACAAGACCTTTTGTAGATTTTGCTTCTCTTTAATACTTCAGTCTCTGTTTCAGCCTTTAATAGAGTCACACGTGCTTCGTTCATTTTACGATTCTTCTTTATCTTTTTAAAATCTTTTTAAAAATAATTTTATTGAGAAAGAAATAGCAATGAGACAGGTTCAAAACAGGTTAGTAGGACAGTTACAGTAATTAATACATTGCATAATGTTTTCTTTGTGGTACTTATTCATAGTACAAAATGCAAATATATGGAAAGCTTCACAAATTTGCATGTCATCCTTGCTCAGGGGACATGTTAATCTTCAATGTATCGTTCCGATTTTAGTATATGTGCTGCCAAAGCTAGCGCTTTACGATTATTCTTAACAAAGATTTAGTGTTTGTTAACTATGCTGGTCTTTAGGAGAGACAGCAGCAGATCATGGGCCAGTTTTTCTGGAAACATAATACATTTTTCTAAGGCCTAGTAACCCAAATCAAGACATCAAGTCATAAGAACTCTTTTGCAGATGTATTTTTAATATGAGGTAGGGAAGGCATTTATAGGTAAAAGCAAAGCCTACCATTGGCTGGGTTCAGCTTAGGACACTGAGCTACTTGGAAGTGAAGTGAAAGGCTAAAATATTAAACATTGCTTCTGATGGGGTGGCAGGTGGTTCTATTATCTTTGGCTTGCTCTGACTTTCCCCCACACACTACCGCGTGCTTTCCAGAAGTTGTATAGCATTTTATAAGGGGAGAAGCAGTTCTTTCCTATCTCAGGAAACATCAAAGTAGAGGAGAGCAATTGCTTTTCTTTTGTTCTTTTTTGAAACTGATGGACTGCCTCCTTATCAGTACAAAGAAGAAAAAAAAAATACTCTGACTCCTTGGGGATTTGACTTTCGGGAAGTGAGATTTTTATCCGTGGAACCAAAGGATCATTTGCAGTATGGCCAGAACAATGGAATTCCACTGTATTAATGCCAACATCCAAGTCTATGGCTGGCTTGGCTCTGGCACAGTATCTGAAATTAATGAAAATGTGTCATAATGTTAACAAGTACAAAGAAAGAAGTTTTTAAAACTACACTTGCTGTTATTCTTATCCAAATATAGGTCCATGTTGAAGGAACATAAACTGTATTTGTATAATGAATATATGTACTAGAAAAGACTGACAAAACTAGAAGTTAATAAAATTCTCAATTGCAGCTGTTTTCAAGTAGAGGACTTGCCTGGGGTCAGTTAGAAATCATCTGAGCCACACGGAACTGCAGGAACTGACCACAGACAGCAGACCACTGTGTGTGTCTGGTAAGTGTGGCGGAGTTGTTCTCCAGCCTGAAGAAAGTAAGAAAGGATAACCTAAGAAACCTCCTAAAGATCGTATTTACTAAAAAAATAAAGATTAAAGTATTTACTATGGGCCATTATAATATTTATCCTAGTATAATGACATGATTGCTCATTTGATCTCTACTGTGTTCTGGAAAAGCAATGACTAAATTAATAAACAAGTAAACATATATACATACGTATATGTAAGTGCATACAAATATGGTAAATATTACATAAATCTATACAGATGTGTAAAATATGATTGGGAGACATTTCTTTATAAATATTAATTACGATAAAATGTGTGGTGAATTTCCAAGAGGTTAACAGTGTATACCATCTTTTCCAAGGATATTTCAAATCTTCTCCTCATAGAACTGTTCATGGCACACATCTAAGTGTTGAACAGAGATTTAGATAAGAGTCAAAGGGGTTCTTGAATGAATGGGTAGCTTGTCTGATCTCCTGTGGAACAAAGCAGACCCGGGCTGAGGCTTTGGCCCAGAAGAGACTGCTGAGCCGAAGTGATGGCAATGTGGGAACCAGTACTAATTTTTTCTACCCATAATCAGAGGGAACTTAATATTATTATTTATAGGAATAACAAAAGCATGATATTTTGGCACAGGTGCGTCTTCTGCCTGGAGCTCCTGCCACCTAGGCCATTCTCCTGAGTTATACTTTCATGACGACGGTCCCTTTCCTCATACTTCTGTGTCACTCCGTCATCATAGCCCTGTTTGTGTGAGTCATTGTGCAGCACCTCCCTTTCTATTCCCTCCTGCTCATGAGCTGTCCGCTTAATCCTGCAGTGGTCTCATGATGAGTATGAGGCACCATTTCTGGTTTGTTTATATTACGTCTAGCTAGAGATGTGGTTCTTATGTATTTGCTCAATATTTATTGAGTGAATGAATGGCTGTGAGCACTTGCCTTGCACCACAGTATATTTGGGTCTGTGTCTGCAGGTTTTGTGTGCCGTGGTGACCCAGGTGGATGACTTCTCATCATGAGTGTTGGCTTTGTGGCATTAACTTTCCAAGTTCATTTGGAAGGTTACTATCCATGCCCACTCCTTTTTCCTGAATTATCAATTATTCAGATACCTATGATAAGGAAAAAAAAATATTTTACTTCCAAACTCCCTCCATCTTTCTTTCTGTACTTCTTACCTAGGGTATAGTCTCTCCTTCAAATGATCATTGCATTGTATTAGAACAATATTTAATATTTCTAGATTATAAGTCCATTAGATTAAAAGAAACACTTGAGTGTTGAGTAATACTTAAAAAAAACTACATTAAATTTTCTAAAGTGAAATTGGAAAATGAAATATTCCTTTTTTATTTGGAAGATGTATATATCTGACTACCATATTCATTGTCAGTGATAAATTAAGGGCCTGCATATTAGTGTAATATAGATGGCATTTGTATTTTAGTTTTATGAAATATAACTTCCCATCAAATTAAAATTAACTTTATGAAGGCCAGGTAAAAGCTTTCCATAAACTTTCTACTTTTAACTTACTATCAGGTTCTATAATGTCTGATATTTACTAGGTATATTTTCAGTACTTATCTTTTACCCAGAATAATTTGTCATATCTAAAGATGCACTTATCATCATGAGCATTGCACCATGGGAAAAGGATGCAGGACAAATGAGAATTATGTGGATGGTGGCCCAGGTCAACAGCACATGCTCCTTGTCCTAATGACCTTAGCAGGAACAGCTGCTTAAACTTCAGTAAGTCATTTATCTTCATTTTATTCAAAAGTAAAAGCCTGATAACCTGGGTACAGACCTTTCTGGCAAAGAAAAGCCCTCAGGAATGTCAATTCTCAATCAGTGTTTGCCGGAGATTTGGCCACTCTTGCTGTATTTCCTTTCTGAGAAGAAAACTGAAGGAATAGATTAAAGATAAAGATCAAAGGAAACTAGGCAACTCCCCCTGTGGGACACCTGGCATTGCCACCAGCCTATTTGTGATGTATTCTGGGCACCAGTTTCCTCCTCTCTCTCTCTCAATTTTTTTTTTTTTTTTTTTTGGATTGTACGGAAGGTTTAGGGTCTCACTACTAGATCAGACTCTTAGTGATTCACATATTTACAGCCTCCCAAGTGCTGGGATTACAGGCTCGCGCCACCACACCCAGTCTCAATTGCCATCTCAGTGTGCCTTGGGGTCGGGGCCAGCACGGAGGGCCTGGGGAGCGAACCTCCAGCCCCTGTGCCTGCTTGCAGACACTTTAATCCACTGAGCTATTTGGCTGGCCCCCTCCTCATCTCTAACATGAAGGTTAGGAGTTGATATTTTTTATAAAGCTTATGATTCTAAACTTACAGCTAAACCTTTTTCAGTTTCTGCCATAGTATTCAATTTATCTAATGCATCTATTATTTTAATTAATTAAAGAGATAAACATAGAGCTTTATAAAGTGTATTCTACAGTTCTGGTTTATTCAGAGTAAGACAGAATGCAAAGGTTTTTTTTTCAATTTCCATTATTTTTCATTATATATCTACATACCTAATTACTGTTATCTTCTAAGCTATCACCAACCAGTAATCTGTCAAGGTACAGTGCGGCACAATATATTTCCACCAACAATAGTGAGGCTTTCATTATTACCCACTGTAATTGCTTGTTATGAATTTTTGTTTTAAAACTTAAACATTATACACAACAAAATAATGCTTTAAACTACCCTCAGAAAGTCTGTATGCAGAAGTTGGTTCATTTGAGTTAATGATTTATTAAATAATTTCTTACTACTAGTATTATTGGCCTAATAGATGATATTATTGAATTTAGAATGGAAGAAAAGTTTCAACTAAAAGTTAGGCATCACACTCAGTCACATAGGCTATCTAGAGCCTTAAAAATAAGTGCATGATGTATTAGGTTCCATTAACAGTACTTGATGCTGGGCTGGGGAGATGGCTCAGTGGAATAAGCGCTTCCCTGGCAAGAGCAAGGGCCTGAGTTCAATCCCTGGTTCTGCCACAAACAAACAAAAAAAATAATACTTGATGCAAACATCAATATATTTATATGCCCAAGAATGATGAATTCATTGTTTAGTTTTATACCTAGAATATTAAGTAAATATAGCATATTTTTCCATTTTAACCTATCTTAGAATCTGATAGTTAAAATTTGTCATTTCACATATAATTGATACTTTAATTTAAAAGGTTCTAAACAGACCTGTCATATAGAAGCCATATTCCTTCTTGTTCTAGTTATATTATTTACTTAAGTTTTACAATTAGAATATAGCATTAAGGTTTAAATTTAAAATAATAGATAAACATGAGGTTTAAAACAATGCTATTCTAATTTAATGAGAGTAAGTGCCTGTTTTGAATAGGAAAGGAGGCTTTCTTGCAATAGGTTTAAGGAGAGTGACTTCTGTGCTGCTAAAATTGGGTGTTGAAAGTTTCTGAAGTTGATAGACAACTGGTGTCAGCCTTTTTTATCAAAGGAAGCACTGGGTTTTCGGAGCAATCGTTTGTTAGTGGGCGCTACTGTGTGAGAGAGAGCCAGAAAGAGAAAGGCAGGGGTGTGGTGGATGGAGTGAGCTGCACTTGGAACTCATGTCCAACGGCTAGAAAATGCCAAATCAAAATGGGCCGTGCACTTACTACCTGCTCCAGTGAACAGTTTCGCGTGGCTTGGGAAATATGTAATACATATTCTTATTCCAAAATTTTAAATAAATTTTTTATGTCATTCAGAAACTGAAAGTTTTTGACGATTTCAAAGATATTTTTATGAAAGTAAATAATTTTATTTCACAAAATAAAATTTAATCTTCAGAAATCAGATTTTTCTGAGAGCTCCTTAATCCAATCAGAATCTATAATAACAGCCATTAGAAAAGATAGCATAGCTCTATCGTTGAGGAAGGTTATCGTGATTGTATAACAGAATGCCACTCGCTTTCTACCTATCTTTGAAGAGAGAAGGACTGATAGTAGAGGTACCGTCGGTTAAAAGGGCAGGACAAAAAGGGAAAAAT